CGGTTACTGATTGAGAAGGGAGCGAATGTGAATGCTCATGGTGGAGTGTATAGTAATGCACTGCAAGCGGCATTATTAGGAGGTCATGAGCAGATAGTACGACTATTGATTGAGAAAAAGGCGGATGTGGATGCTCAAGGTGGATACTATGGCAATGCACTGCAAGCGGCAGCACATATGGGTCATGAGCAGATAGTACGACTATTGATTGAGAAGGGAGCAAATGTGGATGCTCAAGGTGGATGGTATGGTAATGCACTGCAAGCAGCATCATGTGAAGGTCATGAGCAGATAGTGAAGATACTGCTAGACGCAGGTGCTCAGGAGGCAGGTGAAGATTAACAGATGAAATCCCGAAGCACAAGAATCAGAATAGAAACAAGAAGATTACAACCAGTTGAATCACATCCAGAAGTCACCACTGAGCAACCTAACATGAGCACTGAGGGACTGGAAAGTAGGAGAAGGTAGAGCAGATATATCAAAAAGAGTTCAGGATGTAACAGGGGGTACTCACTCGGGATGGAGTATCTATATCATTCCATGACACTTGTCAGATAACTTCATAGTTGTCTACATTAGAAGTTGCAGTTTGTGTAATGAACCATCTATTGATCTTCTTGCTCTCCAACCCCCACGATATCATGTTGGGTGGGCAGAAGAAATAGGTACTATGGTGAGAAAACTGGAATTAGCATCAGTGATAACGGGGATCTGTTGAAATCCCCAGTTGGCCGAAGCGAATCGCAATGCCAAAGACACCAAGATAAATCATGAACCTCACACAGTGTCCCACAACAGGATCAAAGCTGATCTAGCGGGTATGCCTTGCATTTGCGGCTGGGGGTCCTTTCTCCATTGCCTGTTCTTGCAGATCATGCAAGATGGGAGCTGACATAAGGACAAAACCACAGACCCGATATATCGTCATTGAGTACTCCGTAATTCAGAACGTCTGCACTTTCACGCAGTTGGTTAGGCTCACATGTCCAGCGCAGAGGATGGAACCCTATCTGTTATTTTCGTTCTGCCTCCTCCATTATCACCATGTCTTTCTATTTCTCGCCAATCTGTCTGCACCTATCATTCCCAGATAGCGCCAATAAAGCAGAGACAGTCATCTGATAGTGTTATAAGCGGTACGTCAGCAATGATTACCGCGGGAGCACGGCTGGGCTTTCTTATCGTGCTTGCTCCCTGGCACGGCAATAGGACAATGAGACCATGATGCACAATTGGCTTGTAGGAGCGGAAGGAAAGGGTGACTGAACAAGACCTGAGCAGCCTGAGCAAGTGGGTGAGTAAGCTACGTTGAGGGTGAGCCGAGGGTACTGTGCATTGCAAAATTGTTGCGAATTCCTTGGCGGGACCCTCGAATTGCTGGCGCGGTGGGGCGGAATTGCGGTGAGATAAGTAAGTTAAGGATGATCCTTTCCACGATAATATGATCGCAAGCTAGATGTTATTGATAGATTTCTGGGTATTAGGACATATGATTTGTTTTTCTGATATTCCTACTCGGTTAGTGAACATCGTCGTCTTTACTCAGGACTGATCACCCTTATCAGACATGAAAACATGCATTTGTTTCCTAACTAATGGAGAAGGGATAACGTGACAACCTCTGTTTGTTTCTTAGTCGCATAACTACCTAAATGGTTGAAAGTGGCATAATATGTCCTTATCGCTCACTTCCCCAGCTGTCCCAGCTCCCTTGATCCTCAGGCGGCTACGTTCTATCACAAAACATACCAGAATTCGCACTTCTCGGCTCGGTCGATATGTTCGAAAGAGGTCTTAGAGTTAATAACTCACCCATAAAGGGCATCAGGTACTTTCTGCTAGCCAACTAGCTGGCGAAGATTTTTAGTCACTTCGCTTCAAGTGTCAGCAGTTCCTCCAGGAATTCTCAATCCGTGTCTCTTAGAGTTTTGTGAAAGCACAAAACGCCAATGCATCGCCGATTACACAACAGAAAGCAGATGTCGAATGGTTATTACGACGGAGAGAACGACGGCTTACCCGTCTCCTTGTTTTCAACCTCATGATCTACATTGCAGCTAAATGCTCGATGGCGAAAGAGGGATTTACACCATAAGAAGACGAATATTATTTCAC